CCATCCTGGAGAGAAATATCAGCGGTGCTGCTGCCATCAACACCCTTGTTTATGGATGCTGGAGTTTGGCCTGTTTTTCAGTGTAGTCCTGTTTCTCTGACTGTGACTAACTGGATGTGTTCTTTTCATCCTCTGACATGGGAGCTGGCTTAGAGCTCGTCTGCCTGGCTGTGTGTTTCCTGGACCTTTTATAGTTGCTTCTTGTATCTCTGCTTCCGTCTCCTTGAACCCCAGTCAGCCTCAGCAGATGGCCGCTCACACTGAGCCTCGTTCTACTGGAGGTTTCTTCCTGTTAAAAGGGAGTTTTCCACTGTCGCATCAAGCCTGCTTGGTGTGAGGGATTGAATTTGAGTCAATGGGTGTGTTCGATTTCAGAGGCTGCTCAGTGAGACACAGAGGAGAGATGGAGACGTCAGGGGGACATGGGAAGGGAAGGAGACATTTTGAAATGTTGTAAGAAATAAAAATGGAGGTGAGGGTTTAGAGGAAAATAAAGGCAATTGTGAGTTTTAAACATAAACATTGATGAGGTTGCTTTAAAGCAGGCAGGACTGTTTGGCTCCTTCCTGGTTCTGCTGATTAGAACCACGTGATCTAAGATTATCAGAACCAGGTTCTGATGATGGTTGGTGGGAAACTTGATGAGAAGATTCTGTTTTCCTCTCAAGCCCCTTTGGCTTCAGCCTGTGGACATGTGTGTTCCGGAAATAACTCCACCAGGAGGAGGAGGGGAGGGGGTCTGGACCTCCTCCTGACGGTCCGAACCGCAGCTGAAAACTTTTCAAAAGTTCAGAGGAAGAGTCCGCCTGTGAAACCTGAGCTGCTGCTCCTCCTGCTGCTGCTGGAGTCTAAGTGGAACCAGATGGTGAAGCCTGTTTTCTCCAGACTCCAGCCTCCAGCCTCCTCATTCTCACAGAAAGCGCTCCTGTTCGCGGGATGGAGATGAAGAGGAGCGCGGTGAAGTGAAGCCGCTCCTCATGCGGCGCCTCCTCAGGATGCTGCTCCGGCGGCGCGCGTGCGCGGGTCCGCTGCTGCTGCTGCTCGCGCTGCTCTGCTTCTGCTACCAGACGCTGATGGTGGACCGGAACCAGAACCGGAGCGAGGCGGAGGAGGTTCCGACGGAGACCAGGAGGCTGGTCTCCGCTCTGGAGGCTCTGCAGGAGGAGACGCAGGTGAGGCTCACCTGAACTGCGCCTGCGCGTTCATGAGCTGCGGGCTGAATCTGAAGGTAACGGTCTGACCCGCAGAGGCGGAGCTAGAAAATCTTTATAAGGGGGGCCAGGCAATAAGCGATGCGCACTGAGGGGGGGCGAGAGTGGAGCCAGAACCTCAGGGTCAAGAATGATCCAACAGGAAAATTAACAAGCAAAACATCCAGATTTTCTAAATAAAGACTAACTATACTTTCCTACAGCCTTTGCTAAACAAAGAAACGCATATATTTACACCCATAATTTCTAAATAAAAGGTATAGTGGATAAAACTTTCATTTTTGGGTTCTGGGGCATAAATCTGTTCCATTGTCATTACTTACCTACTTTGTATCAATAAAAATTCTGCATAAAATTGATATTTACATGTACTAATATCTACATAAATTGATTTTTTTTGATAACTTTTTATTAAAATTGTTATTTATCTATGAATTCACTGGACTCCTAGATTACTTACAGAGACATATGATTTTCTATTTACCCCATAAAACACTAAATCTAGCTCTGAAAAGAGCATGAATTCTGTATTTATCATCTTTGATGTTAGTTTATTAATGTGCAGAATTCACCACAACAAATTAAAATGTTTTGAATAATCCACTTTAGAACATTACTGCTACCACCATCTGTATTAGAGGGAAAACAATCATTGGCCACCCCTGGCCTCCCATCTAGCTCCGCCCCTGCTGATCCGGTCCAGACGAGCTACTTTAGACCCATTGGATCAGAACTTTTCCCTCTTTTCCCTACATATGTTTCAGGGAGGTCAGGATTTAAAACAAACAGAAATTTTCTGATTTTTATTCGAAATGTTCTTTTTTTAGCATCAATTGCAGATTTCATTGGTTCTGAGTTCTGCTGATGTTCTGACCTTTGACCCTTTCAAACTGGACTTAAATAATCAAACTAATAAGCTAATTATCAAAATAAAGACAACAAAAATCATGATAAAATATAAAAAAAATGTTTAGCAGCTCTGCTTGTTTCTTTCCTAACAAACAGAACTTTTATCTGATCGGATCTCTGGTTCAGATCCAGAACTCTGATCCATTTAGCTCCATTAACGACCCTCATCTGCAGACTTTCTGTTCCAACTTTAATGAGCTAACAGCGAACCTTCTGCTGCTGGCCTGAGGATCACATTCCTGAGAAGACTTCTGTTTGGCTGCAGCTCCAAGGCTCCTCCTGGCTCACGCCTGGAGTATTTTTAGGATCTGAGGGTTGGATTTTCCTGCAGGATGACCGACAGCTGAACGGACCAACCCGGTCCGGAGGTTCTGTGTTATGGGTATTTTAAGTGTGTCCTCGGATAAAAATATTCCTGAGGATTGAGTTTCTGTCGGATAACAGAGTGTAAAACTGCCAGCAGGCCGACTCTCAGAGGTTAAACTCCAGAACGCAACAACAAATACCTGAACCAGGGCCGGATTTACCATTAGGCAATACGAGGCAGTTGCCAAGGCCCCAAGTTCCTGGGGGCCCCAATAAAACTCTGTTTACTTGTCTAGTTAATACAACTATTCCTTATTTGTGCACATTAATTATGTTTTTGATAAAAATACTATTGCTAAAATGCCATCAGAATGCTTATAATATTGTGTCTCAGCCCCCCCCTTCAGTGTCCACCATATTGGATCAGTCCATTTGCTGCACATGTTCAGAAAGGTCCAAACAGACAGCAGCAAACCATTTGAAAACAGACGATGCAAACAGCAGTGTTGCAAACATAGCGTTTTTGTCGCTATATTTAGCCACTTTTCAGACCCCTCTAGAACTTTGATTACAAAAAAGCTCCTAGCGACAAATCTAGCAATTTTTTTCTGCTACTTGAACCTTTGGTGACAACATCTAAAAGCAGCGAACTCTGCTCTCCAGAGCGAGTAGATTGGTAACCCCGCCTCCTGCTGTCTTCTATCTTGTCTGCTGTCATGATACATGCAGCTAGAACAGATAAGCAGATCTAATGCAACTGTTTTTGGCATTTACTTAATCATTTTTAGGTACTTTTAGGGTTATTTACTTTTGCCGTCGCCTTTTAGGAAACACAGGAAGGAGCAATCAGCTAAGTGAGCTTAGTGCTTGGAAAAAATCTTTCATTCCTTTAGAGACAGCATGAAAAGCCAGCTGAGTACAAAACATAGAGAGAAAAACAAGAAGAAAAGGAACAAGAAGAGAGGGACAAAACCTAGAACAAAGAATGGAGGTCTATTCTATTAACATTTCTGTTTTATGTGTTGTCTTCTCAATTCAGAGGCCCCCTACCTGTCTTTGTCTAGGGCCCCAAATCTCCTAAATCCACCCCTGACCTTAACATGCTCCAGGATCTGCTGGAGAAATAAAGACCAGAAGATACAGTGACTTCAAACTGGTTCCTATCAGAAGGAACTCTTCTCTAGATAGGAACTTATGGAGCTCATGGTTCAGGATGTTAAACCTGCAGGTTCTAGTCTAGAGAACCCAGCAGGCAGATTGATGATCTTTCCATTGTTGTTCTGGATATGCTGGTTCTGTTGGCTGCTTCTAAGTCATTTCTCTGGGGTTCTTTGAGGTGTTTAAATTTGCTTTTGAATATAAAATATCCTCACAGATATTCTGTGGAGATGTTTCTGCTTTGACTAATTTCTAAGGGTTTTCCAAAGGCGCAGTTGGCTCTTTGAAGATGGTTTTGGTCTTTCCGATGCAAAGGCAACTTGAGTATTCATCCCAGCATCCTCTAAACATGCCGGGATCTTTCAGGGGTTCTGGTTCCTTCTCTGTTATTGGATCTATCTGGGTCCAGTTTCTAATGTCATAGCTGCTGGTGAAGATTCTCAGTCATCCAGGTCATGGTCATTCCAAAAAAAACAAAAAAAAAAAAAACAATCCACTGGAGTTTGTTTTCAAGTTTGAAGAAGTTTTGCTTCCAATCACGAAGCTTTTTCAATTCAAAATGTTGGAAATAGAAATAGGCTAAGAAAAAGCCTTGTTTTGGCTTATTGGCTTATTGAACTTTGTATGTTTTCTAAGCCAAAAAAAGGTTTTGTTTTTGGTCCTCTCTATAAAGCCTGGAAATCAACCCTATTTCTGACATTTTTAACTGAAAAATCTTCCTGGATGGGAAGTAAAACGTCTTCAAAGTAGGAAACAAAGTCCAGTGGATTGTTTTTTTTTATTTTTTACTTTTTTTGGAATAATCTCATAGCTGTTTTGAATGTTGGAAGTTGTAAACCTTAGTGACTGATAGTGATGTTTCTGGATGTCTAAGATCTTTGCAGGTAATTCTAGATCTTTTGGGAGTTTTCTAAAGTTTCATTGTTAATTAATGTTTTTTTTAATGTTTATAAAGCTCTGGATCCTTTAAGTGTTTCTGTTCTGAAGCTCTCAGCTGCTCCTCTGGTTTCTTCCAGTCTGTCACTGTTTCCTGCTGCGGATCCAAGTGTCTAATTTTAAATCCAGTCTCATCCCTGAGGAACCCTCTGTTTACTCACTGGGGTCACAGCAGACCAGTTTAGTTTACCTCCACAGCAATCCGTCCCATAACACTCCATGTCTGATTAGTGGTTTGTAACCCGTTAAACCAGTAGGAGGGATTTAAAAAAGCCAAACTGGTGTGAGAAAACCAGCTGGTTAGATTTACTACTGCAGCTGCTGAACTGGGTCCAACTGGTGTCAGCTGCAGAACAAACAGAACAATCAGAACCGAAGCTCAGCACATGGAAACACATTGATCCTGATTTGATTCCTCTTAGTTTAGGAAAAAGAAGAACGTTTTAGTGAAAGAGGGGAAGAAGTAGAGCGTGTGGTCAGCTGCCTCGGTCATGTGACTGACTGGGTTCTGGTCACATGACTCTCACTGGGTTCTGGTCATGTAATTAGTCTGGAATGAGGCCTGTTGCTCTCTGACAGTCCTCATCTTCTTCTGGATTTTCTCACCTGGGAGCATTTCTGAGCAGAACCACTAATTGAAACGGATCGGATGTCAAAGGTTTCTGTTTTGGGGTGTGATCCCGGCATTGAAAACATCAGAACCTTTCTGGCCTCTGACTGAAAGAGGAGCAGCATCTATTCACTGCTGTCAGAGCAGAGCGTCACATGTAACAAAGGTCGGTTCTGACTGACCTCAGATCAGCTGACAGGCTGAACATGAAGATCTGCTGGAGCGGGTTTAACAAATCAAATCTACATTTTCTAGACGGAGCAGAATTTAGTGGTTCTGCTCAGGATGTGACCCAAACCCAGGCTTCACAGAGGTTTGGGTTCTGAGAGAAAAACAGATTTTTTTTCCAGTAGTGCCTCCATGAAAGTTTGCTGTGTTCTAAATGGGTCAGTAAGCCACAACCACTCTGTTGTTTCATTTTAGTTTCTGGAAGGATCAAAGTTTCATTTGGGAAGAAACGGTAGAAATGTTTGGATTTGCTTAGTTTCTAAAG